CAGATGACACTCCAGGAGAGCCAACCCTCAGTAGTCATTTCCCAAAGGTGAGAAGCCTGGTTTATGAGATCTCTAATGTGCTCCTGAGCCTGTCCTGATGTCTTAGCCCAGATCAGCACTCTTCTCTAAGCATTGACAAGTTCCTCCCTGATCGGCAGCCAGCATGTCAAGACCTTTACCGTGTTTGAGAACTATAGCTGAGAGATAACTGACTTGCCACTGTAACTCTGTTATAGCTCAAGCAGTGGTTTCTATCTCTTGAGCCAATTCCCGAGATAGGCTGTGGTAGGTTCAGGAGTAAGTGCCAATGCCAGCTATTCCCATCGTGGCACCTGTAGTGATGCCAAGCCCAATGAGAAAGGGAATTAGTGGAATTGCTTAGTGGGCCCAGTGTGAGGTTATAAATAAGAGCAAGGGCAGAGAAGCATCGCCCGGGGCTATGGAGATGCCAGCAGTGAGGTAAGCCAGAGTGCATGTTCTGGTCCTGTTTGCAGGGAGACAGAGGTGGGCCTGTGTCCCACATAGAAAACACAGTTCTGTCATGGATAGACAAGAATGGATATGGAAGGAGGCAAGGTCAATTCTAAACTTTACCAGTACCCTTGTTGGCTACCCAAGATGTGATATTCTGTCACGAAAGTTACAGCTGCTAGGGGAGCCAGACATGAGTGACTAGTTTGAATAGGAGTATGGTTCTTATTTTCCCAGGAGAGCATGTGTCTATTAATGTCAAGGAGAAGAGCCTCCAAAGGAAGTTAAAGATTTGAAACTTTTTGCATGACCGCTACCAGCTTGGTCAGGTAGAGAACCTTACTTGGTATTCGGAGATTTTAGTTTCTAAAAAAAAAAAGTATGAGCGGTATTAACAATGGTGATGTTTGTGTTACAGTGTGCAGCATTGAGAGAACCCACACACAAGTTCCAGAATCTCTGGTAGTAGTGATGCCTAGGGGTACCTGGCTGATGAGGGTGATGGGGGAAAACAAGGGGCCTAAAATAGCGTAACTGTTCTTAAGAAGAGCCTGAAAGTCCCTTCACTTTGTTAGGTACTGAATGCATCTCTGAGAAGGTTTGGTAAAGAGAGTGTCCAGTGATAGGTGAAGCTAAATTGGGCTTGAATAGTTGTCTATTCTGGTATCATGGCTGGGTAGGTTATTCCTACACTGGATGGAGAAAATTCATGCATAGCCAATAATGAGGCACAGGAAGATTTGGTGAGCTTTAGTAGTTGTTGAGCTGCTTGTAGAGTTTTTTGACATGGTTGTGGATTGTTGGGGCCTATGAGGGTGATTTTAGCTAAAAGCATTAGTGAGTATAGAGCATTTGGCTGCATGGTCCCAAAGAGAACAGATTAGAGTCAAATCAAGAGGTCTGTTGATTATGGAAAAAGTAGCTGATAACTCAGTGAGTATTAGAGAGAACACCACCTAGATTATGGCTTTGAGGTTTAAATCCAGGTAGGTAAGAACAGACCTTTTCCTGGAGGGGGTGTTTGTTCATAATAGTAAACCTCAAGGAGTAGTATGATTCATGGTATAACAGGCCAAAGCATTACTAATTTACTTATCTTTATTCTTTTGGCTTTGCTTGAGAGGAGTTTGAGACCCTTGGAGGGGCTCAATGGTGCAGGTGTCTGATGGGAGCTTTACAACTTCCTCTGCCGGAGATGAGTAATACAGCTTTATCTTGGAGTAGTAAAGCCACATGGTGATCCCCAGCATCATAACTGCTGTAGGAAGAGCAAAACAGTGTAAGAACCTCTCCAAATAAGACTCAGTAGACAGTTTGAAGTGCCATCCTTCCAAGTCTTGATGATGACTTGAGTACTTACTTGGTGGGTATAAAATTTGGTCAGAGTTTTCAGGGTGTGAAAATGTCTTTTGGCCTAGTTTTTGAGCCCCCAGCTGAAACTGGGATAGGGAAGTAACATAATTAGTAAGTTGGCAAGTTTCAGTATCCAATAGGAAAGCAAAGAAAGGGTCTTCCACATCATAACTTGAAAGAACTGAGTTGTAAGTTACAGATGGGTATGTTTCTCAGCCTTAGTAGAGCAATACGTAGTAGCTCTGGTCAAGGCTTTGAGGTTTCCTGGCATAATTTTTCCAAGGACTGCTTGAGAGTTCGGTTAATATCTATCAACCATTCCAGAGGGTTGTGGATGCTTGGAGGAATGTAGAAAGTAACTGATTCCCATGTCCTGAGAAACAAGTTGAGTAACCTGTGAGGTGAAGGATGTGTTACCACTTTGCAATGACCTGGGATGCCAAACTGGGGTATGACCTTCTTGGGGAGGGCCTTTACTATCCCCACTGCTTTTTCCATTCACATGGAGTAAGTGTCTATCCAACCTGGGAAGGTGTCTAAAAGACCAGAAGATATTTATACCCTTGACAGGCACAAAGTGAGGTGAAGTCAAACTGCCATTCCTCCCTAGCATGAGTGTCCCTCCATTGGACTGGCTGGAAAAGAAAAGGGGGTTTGGCTCCTCATGGGATGTTTAATGTGCAAAGGGCACAGGCCCTGGAAAACTTGTTCAATAGTCTTTAAAAGATTTTTTTCTCCAAAAGAGCCATTTGCACACTATTGAAAGCTTTTTCTTGCCAAAGTGGCAGGAGTCACGCAAAGCATAGCTAACTTCCCACTGAACATTTTAAGGCAGATGTAGGACCTCTCCCAATTGATACCAGCCTCTGGAGCTTCGTGTTCTTGTGCCCATTCCTATTCCTCTGGTGAGTACAGGGGCTAATGGCTTTGGAACCTCAGTGGGAGGATAAATAAAAGAAGGCTGAGGATGCTCTTCTGGGAAATTTCCTAGGCCATTTATAGGAGAATTATCCACTGAGGGGCTCACAAGAGCCAAAGTGTCAGGGTTCAGTTTTTTATATTTTTGGCAGAGATTCTGGTCCTCTTTTACAGCCATAAAGGCCTAGACATAGGGCACATCTGACCATTTACCCTGTCACCTGCAAAGCAGGTCCAGCTGCAAGAGGGTATTAAAATTAAGGCTACCATTTTCTGGCCAGCCTTCCTATAGTCATAGAGTTTTGTATTGAGGCCATGCACAGTTACAAAAGAAAGTTAATATCTTTTTCTTTAATGTCTGGGGATCAAACTTGTCCTAACTTTTGAGAATGCATCCAAGGGGAGAGTCCTACAGTGTGGAGTGTTGAATGTCCATCTGAAAAACAGAGAGAAGTAAAGGCCAGGGGAGAGTGAACATCCTCATTCTCTGTCCATTCTCATCCATTGTGAAAGGGGGAGAGTATCCTCTCCATCCCTTTCCCACGTGGGCCAGGCATCTCTAGCCTGTGAGGAGCTTCAGACTTCATGCACCCTTACTGCATGCTCCCACCCAAGCCATGACCTCTTTCCCTCATTTGGTCTGTTGACTCCTGCAGGTCTATAGGTCTCACATCTAATTATAGATGATTGTGCCCAATTATAATTTTGTACCCTTCTGTAATAATCCTCTGCATACAGTAAAAGCATGTCAAAGGCAGTGGGGAAGGCCAGAGACAAAAGGAAAGTCAACTGGCAAATCCCTAAGAATTCAGTGATAAGAACATGGAGAGAAGATTGGGTAACTAGCTACATCCAGGTGACCCCTAGACCAAGACCATAGCACCTGAAATTTACCTAAATTTCATCTGGAGGTGGAATTAGTGCAGAGGAGATGGTTACAGAGCATTCTAAAAGCCACTGTATTGGGGCCTATCTGGGAAGAGAGAGGACAAAGGAGGTGGCATTGGCTAGCAAGAGAGAGATGCCATGATGGCATGGGCAGCAGGACCAACTGTGAAAAAAGACAGGGTGGTGAGTCCCCAAAAGTCAGTTGTGAGAACGTGGAAGTAATCAGAAGACTTAGGGTCTCTGACAAGAAAAAAGCATTCTATGCCTGGAGGAGCTCTGTTGAGCATTGGGCAGAAGTGCTAGCTGAGCACACAAATCAGAGATGCCAGGGAGCTTGATTGGCATGCTCAGCATTCTCATAGACTATGCTGGATAGGAGCAGATATGTGAGAGGAGACAGCAGGGAGCACAGCCCTTACCTCATGACAGGATGCGAGTCACGGCACTAAGAGATGTTGCCAAGCCCAGAGTTCCAGAAAGTGTCCTCAGTTCTTGTCTCCTTGCAAGAAAGAATTCAGCCAAAAGAGTAATTAGTAAATCCAGCAAAAAAAAAAATTATTGCAGAAGTGACAGCATGCTTTAAGACAAGGGTGGGCTGACTTGGCTGGGAGCAGCCCCAATACATTCTGCATTTGGTCTTTTCTCTCACTTTCTTTAGGTTCCTGCCTTTGTTCTTGCCCAGTTTACACACAGGCTTGGGGGACCCTCCCTTACTTTTGGTTAATGCACATGTGCAGAACCCAATGATCACAACAAATTCTACCCAATGGTGGCGTTGCTCATTACTGCCACCCAGGAAGGTGGTACAGCCATCACATTTGTATTCATTGTGTCCATGCAGCTCTTAAGAATTCCCCTTTTGCCTTTCCCTTTCTTTATCAGAATGCAGTTTACATATTCTGATGGTTCAACCATAGAATGAGTGATTACTGATCATCTTGAGTCATTCTGGGGCGTTCCTTCCCACATAGCTACCTTTCCTCCTGCCTGCTCACATCTGGCTAACGGCCTACCCTAACTGTTGAATTGAAAGGCTCTTGTTCAAATGAAACTTGAAACACTGAAAGGGTCATGTCCCAGGGAGATGGGAACCCTGTGCAGTTTTACATGGAATTCTGGGTAGGAAGAACAGACTGGATTCTGTTTGCTCACATTTGCTATTTAACTATTCTTTATATTATTCCCATTTTAGCCATAAATCATTCAAGTCATGGTAAGATAGACATAAGTGAACTCCACTTTTATGAATTCAAATATTGCTTTAAGTATTTAAAAACTGCTGTATAATTGCACAGCAACGGGCACATTTTACAACAAATGATATCAAAATGTTATAAAAGGATACACTCATGTAAGAAAATCAAAAAACTTTAAACTGAAAAAGAGAAAAAATATTTTTTAGTGTTACAGGTTCATATAATTCATCAAAAGTATTTATCTTGGATTCCTTTACATAATAATCATCCACATGTGGTTAAGTGTTTGAATACCAATTGTTTACATATGATTAGAAGTGGGAAACTTGAGATGCTACAGAAAAATCTTTAAAAACATTATGAACCCAAACCAAACTAAAATCAATTATAAAGCAAGCCAAAGCATCTCAAAGTATACATTCAGTTGTTAGGCAATACCATTCCATTTCCAAAATCCAACTTAAATGCAATTTTTACAGAAAGGTCAAATGTGCTGCTTTAGTTACATTTATTGAATAAAGTTAACAAGTGAATATCTCTTGACAATGAGAGCCCCAAGGACTTAAAAAAAAAAAAAAGCTGTTAAGTTTGTTTCCTCTCCTTAAAAACACAAGGATCTTTATTTAAAATGCATAAGTCAATTAGACAATTCAATATTTTGCCAAAAAATACAAGAATTATATCAGAAGTCTGAAAAGGAAAAAAAAAAAAACAATGCTACAGCTAACCTTTGGCAAGTCGTTCTCCATTCTGTTATCTGAGGACAGTAAGCTTGAGGTAGAAATCCTTAAGGTTTCTCTTGGAACATGTATTCTGTTCAGACCTAAATTTTCATTAAGATTTCCATTGCATGCTAACTCCAGGGCTGGCCTTGCAGTATGAGAAGTAAATAAAGATTTGCTCTGCTCTTTTTCTTGAAGTCTGGTACTGACATCTGCTAGAATTTTTTCACGTCTGTGAAGATTGCAAAAGACAGATACTGAGTATTTTGTTTTTTAAAATTATGTCTAAATGACTTGCATTGTTTAAAAAGTAACCATGAGTCAATAAAAGATACCGCAAACCATGTTTTAACTCTGAAAATGTATGAGGGCATGTGTACTGTTCACATTCTGACAGTTCAACCATAGAATGAGTGATTACTGAGCATCTTAATAGTCATTAAGGGGCATTCCTTCCACATAGCTACCTTTCCTCCTGCCTGCTCATATCTGACTAACTGCCTACCCTAACAGTTGGATTGAAAAGTTCTTGTTTAATTGAACCTTGAAACATTGAAAGGGTCATGTCCCAGGAATAATTTTAAAATTATTCTAAAGAAGTACATGTATTTCCAGAGGATTTCTAACAAACAAGTAATTCAAACAAAGTAGGGAGGAAAGAGCAAAAGCTATTAATGATGTATGGATTAACAGGTCATGTTTGTTGCCTTCTGAAATGGCTCTACTTAGAAGATTCTTAAGAATGCCATTAGAAATACTTGTGTTTAGGCCTGGCACAGTGGCTCACACCTGTAATCCCAGAACTTTGGGAGGCTGAGAAGGGAGAATCACTTGAGGTCAGGAGTTCAAAACCAGTCTGGCCAACATAGTGAAACCCTGTCTTTACTAAAAATGCAAAAAAAAAAATCAGCCAGGCATGGTGGCAGATGCCTGTAATTCCAGCTACTCAGGAGGCTGAGGCAGGAGAATCACTTGAACCTGGGAGGCGGAGGTTGCAGTGAGCCAAGATTGTACCACTGCATTCCAGCCTGGGCGACAAGAGTGAAACTGTCTCAAAAAAAATTTTTTTAAGTAAATAAATACTTGTGTTTAAAGGGTAACTATATGAAAAGATAAACATATTAATTTGCTTGCCTAGAATAACCATTTGACTATGTATATATATACTAAAACATCATGTGGTACTCCTTAAATATATAGGAGTACCAAAATATACCCAAAAATATAAATCCAAAAAAATTTTACTTCAGTAAAATAAAGCTAGAAATACTTGTATTTAGTAAGCCAGTTACAGAAAAAAAAAAAGATCTCTCAAAGACATTTTCAAGCATTTCTTTTCACCACCCTTGTACATTTCACTCATTACCTGAAAAAAATTAAGCATTTGGCACTGAGGAATCATTCAGAGCAACAACCCCCTGGGGAGGAGACAGCCAAGATCAAAGAGAACTCAATCATCTCCAAAGGCAATTTACTCCTAAAATTGCAACCAAAGCCTGAGAAGCAGGGCTTGCCCTTTTGGTCCATCTCAAAAAAAAAGAAACACACAAAAAAAGAAAACACACACACACACACACACACACACACACACACACAAACAGGAGAGTAAGATGAATTGTCCTGGATTTACTTTTTTTTTTTTTCTTTTTTTTTTGAGATGGAGTCTCACTCTGTCACTTAGGCTGGAGTGCAGTGGTGCAATCTCTGCTCACTGCAATGTTCACTTCCCAGGTTCAAGTGATTCGCCTGCCTCAATCTCCTCAGTAGTTGGGATTACAGGAGCACACCACCAGGCCTGGCTAATTTTTGTATTTTTAGTAGAGATGGGGCTTCACCATGTTAGTCAAGCTGGTCTTGAACTCCTGACCTCATGTGATCCACCTGTGGATTAACATTTCAAAGGTAAGTTCATTTACTAACATCATTTTTCAAAATTGTCTTATCTAGTTAGCTTTCACTTCCACCTAATCTCATGAACCTGTCTCATTAAAAATTATGCTTTTGAGGCAAAGTAAAGAGCTTCATTTATTTTCTATGATTCTATTTTGACTTACTTTCCTTGTTCATCTGATATAGATTCTCTCAGTTTTAATTGTTCTAGATACAGTTTCTTATATTTTTCCAATTCTGTTGTACTGTAGTCTGCTTGTGAAGTTTTTGCCTTATAGATTTCAAGTTTCAGAGCTTTAATTACAAGTTCCATCTGATTTTTCATGGAAGCACTGTTTTCCTCTCTTAACCTCTGTAACTTTTCTTGAGATATTTTCTGTGTCTAAAACAAATTGAAAGGGTACATTTTAAAAATAATTATAACCTGAATAATTATTGCGTAGTTGTTTTTTTGTTTGTTTGTTTGTTTTGGGTCAGTGATCTAGAGAGCATTTTTAAGTATGTGAAAAAAGAAATTGAAGGTTAATATATTTATTATCAGTATCAGCTAAATTAATAATTTAATCTGAATTGTAATAAAATGAAATGCTTACAGTGGCACGCATGAAATGTAACACTCCAAAGAATAATAAAATGAATTTAAATTCTGAAAAACTAAACAACATAACTTCAGAATAATTCAAGAGTAGATTCAAGGGAGGATAGCAGAATGGAAGCTTCTCCAAAGTGTAGTTACCACCCAGTGAGACAGAACCAGAGCGATATCCACGTCTCCGAGCGAGGTGCCAGTTTTGTTTTAAAGGGACTGGTTGAACAGCGGGATTAACCCCAAAAAAAGGCAGTGAAGGCAGCCCCCAAGGCAAGGCAGGGCACTGCCACACCTGGAAAGTGTATCAGGCATGGAGGATGCGGGGGGGGCATCACCTCCTCAGTCCTCTGAATCAGATACAGCAATTCACTCCAGGACTTCGGCAGCACACAGACCAGGAAAACACTGCCTTGCCAAGAACCACCTGGAGTCACAGACCCGGGCGGCAGCCCAGGCCAGCAGCCCTGGTCAGACTGGTGCCTTGTTAGCACAGACCAGGGTGGAGTCTAATTTGGACTAACACTGAGAAAGCTCACAAAAAGGAACTGCCTGTCCACAGAAGGGAGAGTTGAAAGCAGGGAGGGGGATACGACCAGACAGCCCCTCTCCACAAGATTCAGCCACTGGAGTCCGTCTCCTGGGAGAGTTTCACAGTTAACACATCCTCCACCCAGGAACAGGTGGCTCGGCAGAGCAAAAGAGCTTGCCATTGGGAAGGCAGGGCTAAACCCAGCAGTATGGAAACCAGGCAAAGAATAAACAGCAGCCTGGGCTGAGACCAAGGCAGCCCAGCAGTGCCTCCACAGGCAGACAATGGACAGACTGTCTCCAGTGGCACACTGGCACCTGCATAAAAAAAAAAAAAAAAAAAAAAAGTTCATACAGGAGAAATAACCCCAACTTTAACAGAAAGGACATCCACTCAGAGAAGATGGGAAGAAACCAGCACAAAAGATGAAAACATCAAAGTCCAGAACGCCTCTCCTCCCCAGAGAGATCACAGTGACTCACCAGCATGGCGACAAAGCAGGTCAGAAAACGATTTTGATGAGCTGACAGAAGCAGGCTTCAGAAGATGGATAATAACAAACTTCTCTGAGCTAAAATAACATATTTTAACCCAATGCAAAGAAACTAAGAACCTTGAAAAAAGATTAGATGAAATGCTAACGAGAATAACCAGCCTAGAGAAGAACATAAATGACTTGACAGAGCTGAAAATTATAGCACAAGAACTTCGTGAACTGTACACAAGTTTCAAGAGCCAAATCGATCAATCAGAAGAAAGGATATCAGAGATCAAAGATCAACTCAATGAAATGAAAAGAGAAGGCAAGAAAAGAGAACAAAGAGTGGAAAGAAATGAACAAAGCCTCCAAGAAATATGGGATTATGTGAAAAGATCTAATCTACACTTGATCAGTGTACCTGAAGAAGACAGGGAAAATGAATCCAAGCTGGAAAACACTCTTCAAAATATTATCCAGGGGAACTTCCCCAACCTATTAAAGTAGGCCAACATTCAAATACAGGAAATACAAAGAACACCACAGAGATACTTCTCAAAAAGAGCAACTCAAAAAGGCACATAATCGTCAGATTCACCAGGGTTGAAATGAAGGAAAAAAATGCTAAGAGCAGCCAGAGAGAAAGTTCGGATCACCCACAAAGGAAAGCCCATCAGACTCACAGCAGATCTCTCGGCAGAAACCATACAAGCCAGAGTAGAGTGGGGACCAATATTCAACATCCTTAAAGAGAATATTCAACCCAGAATCTCATATCCAGCCAAACTAAGCTTCATAAGTGAAGGAGAAATAAAATCCTTTATGGACAAGCAATTACTGAGAGATTTCATTGCCACTAGGCCTGCCCTACAAAAGCTCCTGAAGGAAGCACTAAACACATAAAAAAATATCCAGTACCAGCCACTGCAAAAACGAACCAAATGGTAAAGACCAATGACGCAATGAGAAAACTGTGTCGACCAATGGGCAAAACAAATAACGAGCCACAAAATGGCAGGATCAAATTCACACATAACAATATTAACTTTAAATGTAAATGGCCTAAATACCACAATCAATCAAAAGGCACAAACTGGTAAACTGGGTAAAAAGTCAAAACCCATCAGTGTGCTGTATTCAGAAGACCCATCTCACATGCAAAGACACACATAGACTCAAAATAAAGGGATGGAAGAAGATCTACCAAGCAAATGGAGAGAAAAAAAAAGCAGGGGTTGCAATTTTAGTCTTGGATAAAATCAACTTTAAACCAACAAAGATCAGAAGAGACAAAGGACACTACATAATGGTGAAAGGATCAATACAACATGAAGAGCTAACTATCCTAAATACACATGTACCCAATACAGGAGCGCCCAGATACATAAAGCAAGTTCTAAATGACCTACGAAGAGACTTAGACTCCTGCACAATAATAGTGGGAGACTTTAACACTCCACTGTCAACATTAGACAGATCAACAAAACAGAAAATCAAAAAGGATATACAGGACTTGAACAAAGAACTAGAATAAGCTGGCCTAATAGACATCTACAGAACTCTCCACCCCACTGCCACAGAAAACACATTCTTCTCAGCACAACGTTGCACTTACTCTAAAATTGACCACATAATTGGAAGTAAATCACTCCTCAGCAAACGCAAAAAAACAGAAATCATAACAAACAGTCTCTCAGACCACAGTGCAACCGAATTAGATCTCAGGATTAAGAAACTAACTCAAAACTGCACAACTTCATGGAAACTGAACAAGTGGCTCCTGAATATTGACTGGATAAACAATGAAATGAAGACAGAAATAAAGATGTTCTTCTAAACCACGAGAACAAGGACAGACGTACCCAGAATCTCTGGGACACATTTAAAGCAGTGTCTAGAGGGAAACTTACAGCAATAAATGCCCACATGGGAAATGAGGAAAGATCTAAAATTGACACCCTATCATCAAAATTGAAAGAGCTAGAGGAGCAAGATCAAAAAAACTCAAAAGCTAGCAGAAGACAAAAAATAACTAAGATCAGAGCAGAAATGAAGGAGACAGAGACACAAAAAAACTGTCAAAAAATCAATAAATTCAGAAGCTGGTTTTTTGAAAAGGTCAACAAAAACAGACAGACCACTAGCCAGATAAATAAAAAAGAAAAAAGAGAAGAATCAAATAGATGCATAAAAAACGATAAAGGGGATATCACCACAGATTCCACAGAAATACAAACTACCATCAGAGATTACTACAAACAACCCTATGCACATAATCCAGTAAGCCTGGAAGAAATGGATAAATTCCTGGACACTTGCACCCTCTCAAGCCTAAACCAGGAAGAAGTCAAAACCCTGAATAGACCAATAACAAGGGCTGAGGTTGAGGCAGCAATTAATAGCCTACCAACCAAAAAAAGCCCAGGTCCAGATAGATTCACAGCTGAATTCTACCACACATACAAAGAGGAGCTGGTACACTGCTTCGGAAACTATTCCGAACAATCCAAAAAGAGGGAATCCTCCCCAAATCATTTTATGAGACCAACATCATCCTAATACCAAAACCTGGCAGAGACTCAACAAGAAAGAAAACTTCAGGCCAATATCCATGATGAACATAGATGCAAAAATCTTCCATAAAATACTGGCAAGCCGATTGCAACAGCACATCAAAAAGCTTATCCATCACAATCAAGTAGGCTTCATCTGGGGATGCAAGGCTGGTTCAACATACGCAAGTCTATAGACGAAATTCACCACATAAACAGAACCAAAGACAAAAACCACATGATTATCTCAATAGATGCAGAGAAGGTCTTCAACAAAATTCAACAGCCTTTTATGCTAAAAACTCTGAATACTAGGTATCAACAGAATGTATTTCAAAATAATAAAAGCTATTTATGATAAACCCACAGCCAATATCATATTGAATGTGCAAAAACTAGAAGCATTCCCTTTGAAATCTGTGACTAGACAAGGATGTCCTCTCTCACCACTCCTATTCAATATAGTATTGGAAGTTCTAGCCAGAGCAATCAAACAAGAAAAAGAAATAAAGGGTATTCACTTTGGAAAGGAGAAAGTCAAATTGCCTCTATTTGCAGATGACATGATTGTATATGTAGAAGACTTGATCGTCTCAGCCCAAAATCTCCTGAAACTGATAAGCAACTTCAGCAAAGTCTCAGGACACAAAATCAATGTGCAGAAATCACAAACCTTCCTATACACCAATAACAGATTTAAAGAAAGCCAAATCAAGAATGAATTGCCATTCACAGTTGCTACAAAGAAAATAAAATACCCAGGAATACAATGATCAGAGGATGTAAAGGACCTCTTCAAGGAGAACTACAAACCACTGCTCAATGAAATAAGAGAGGACACAAACGAATGGAGAAACATTCCATGCTCATGGTTAGAAAGAATCAATATCGTGAAAATTGCCATACTGCCCAAAGTAATTTATAGATTCAATGTTATCCCCATGAAGCTACCAATGACCTTCTTAACAGAACTGGAAAACACCACCTTAAACTTCATATGGAACCAAAAGAGAGCCCACATAGCCAAGTCAATTCTAAGCAAAAGGAACAAAGCTGGAGACATCATGCTACCTGACTTCAAACTATACTATAAGGCTACAGTAATCAAAACAACATGGTACTGGTACCAAAACAGAGATACAGACAAATGGGACAGGACAGAGGCCTCGGAGGCAATGCCACACATCTACAACCATCTGATCTTTGACAAACATGACAAAAACAAGTAATGAGGAAAGGATTCCCTGTTTAATAAATGGTGTTGGGAAAACTGGCTAGCCATGTAGAGAAAGCAGAAACTGGAGCCCTTCCTGACACCTCACACTAAAATTAACTCCAGATGCATTAAAGACTTAAACATAAGACCTAACACCATAAAAACCCTAGAAGAAAACCTAGGCAAAACCTTTTAGGACATAGGCATAGGCAAGGACTTCATGACTAAAACACCAAAAGCACTGGCAACAAAAGCCAAACTAGACAAATGGAACCTAATTAAACTCCAGAATTTCTGCACAGCAAAAGAAACAATCATTAGAGTGAATTGGCAACCAACAGAATGGGAAAAAATTTTTGCAATCTACCCATCCAAAAAAAGGACTTATATCCAGAATCTACAAAGAACTCAAACAGATTTACAAGAAAAAAAACAAACAAACCCATTCAAAAGTGGGCAAAGGATAAGAACAGACACTTTTCAAAAGAAAACATATACGAGGTCAAGAAACATATGAAAAAATGCTCATCATCACTGGTCATTAGAGAAATGCAAATCAAAACCATATTGAGATACCATCTCATGCCAGTTAGAATGGAAATCATTAAAAAATCTGGAAACAACAGATGATGGAGAGGATGTGGAGAAATAGGAACATTTTTACATTGTTGGTGGAAGTGTAAATTAGTTCAACCATTGTGGAAGACAGTGTGGCAATTCCTGAAGAACCTAAAAATAGAAATTCTATTTGACCCAGCAATCCCATTACTGGGTATATATCCAAAGGATTATAAATTGTTCTATTATAAAGCCACATGCACACGTATGTTCACTGCAGCACTGTTTACAACAGCAAAGACTTGGAACCAACCCAAATGCCCATCGATGATAGACTGGACAGGGAAAATGTGGCACATATACACCATGGGATACTATCCAGCCATAAAAAACGATGAGTTCGTGTCCTTTCTAGGGACATGGATGCACCTGGAAACCATCATTCTCAGCAAACTGACACAAGAACAGAAAATCAAGCACCGCATGTTCTCACTCATAGGCAGGTGCTGAACAATGAGAACACATGGACACAGGGACGGGAGCATCACACACTGAGGTCTGTCAGCGGGGGACTAGGGGAGAGACAGTGGGGATATGGAGTTGGGGAGGGATAACATGGGGAGTAATGCCAGATATAGGTGATGGGGATGGAGGCAGCAAACCACATTGCCATGTATGTACCTATGCAACAATCTTGCATGTTCTTCACATGTACTCTAGAACCTAAAGTGCAATAAAATACATATATATTTTTTTAAATCTGGAGACAACAGATGCTGGAGAGGACGTGGAGAAGTAGGATCACTTTTACACTGTTGGTGGGAGTGTAAATTAATTCAACCATTGTGGAAGACAGTGTGGCGATTCCTCAAGGATCTAGAAATAGAAATTCCATTTGACTCAGCATCCCATTACTTGGTATATACCCAAACTATAAACCATTCCACTATAAAGACACATGCACATGCATGTTCATCCAGGCATTGTTTACAATAGCAAAGACCTGGAACCAACCCAAATGCCCATCAATGACAGACTGGACAAGGAAAATGTGGCACGTATACACCATGGAATACTATGCAACCATAAAAAAGGATGAGTTCATGTCTTTTGCAGGGACATGGATGAACCTGGAAACCATCATTCTTAGCAAACTAACACAAGAACAGAAAATCAAACACCACAGGTTCTCACTCATAGGTGGATGTTGAACAATGAGAACACATGGACACAAAGAGGGGAGCTTCACACACTGGGGTCCATTGGGGGAGGCTACAGGAGGGATAGTGGGAGGGAGGGTGGGGGAAGGTTGAGGTCGGGAGAAATGTCAGGTATAGGTGATGGGGGGATGGTGGCAACAAACCACCTTGCCATGAATGTACATATGCAACAATCTTGCATGATCTGCACATGTACCCCAGAATCTAAAGTACAATAATAAAAAAATAAAAATAAAATAAAGAATAATTCGAGAGTATAGTATAATTTCTAAACCACATTTCTTTTTCTATTAGTCTTGTTTTATATCAACTGGTCTTAGTAATCAAATAATTCGCTAATGAGAATCATTATTATGGAAGATCAATTTAGTTACAATAATAATGGCAAGTAAAATATTTAAAGAGAGAAACAGATACCACCTTCGTTCTAGGAATCTACCAAATCATTATAAGAGAAGTAGCAAAAACACATATAATATATATATCCAAAATATAATTTGCAGTGAAATGAATGAAGGTACATTACAGATAAATAAACTAACCTGTATAAATTGATTGATTTTTTCTAATTGTTCTGCTATCTTCTGACTTGCTCTTTCTTCATCCTCCTGTTTACAGCGTTTCAATGGACTATGTTCTAACATATTCATTTCCATGTAACTTTCAAGGTTTACTAGTTCTTCTTCCAACTTCTCATCCTTCTTCAGTGTTTCATATTTCTTTTGCATGAATTTAAAGAATTAATATTGTTAAAATAATACCTGAAGGAATTGACAGGTTATATATGATGTCTATTAAAATATGTATTAGTCCATTTTCACACTGCTATAAATATACTACCCAAGACTGAGTAAAATGTATGAAAAAAGAGGTTTAATTGACTCACAGTTCTGCATAGCTGGGGAGGCCTCAGGAAACTTACAATCGCAGCAGAAGGGGAAGCAGGCACATCTTACTTATATGGGTGGCAGGAGAGAGAGGAGAAAGTGAAGGGGAAGAGACCCTTTTAAAACCACCAGATCATGTGAGAACTCACTCACTATCATGAGAACAGCATGGGGGAAACTGGCCCCATGATCCAATCAAGTCCCTCCCTTAACGTGTGGGGATTATAGGTCTCTCCTTCTACACATGGGGATTATAATTTGAGATGAGGTTTGGGTTGGGAAAGAGAGCCAAACCATTTCAAAATAAAAATTATGTTTTTAGCTGGGAGACAAGATGGTCAACCAGATGCAGCCAGGAAATAGCTCTTCCACAGACAGAAAACAAAATATTGAGCAAACCATCACACTTTGAACAGAACTTTGAGGAAAAAAAGCATTCAAAATAAATGGAGAGGCAATGCAGACACTGAGTTTGAAGAGGAAGGAAGCCAGGAAGCCAGATGGAGTCACCAGTCACCAGGACCAGCTCTTGGTCCAGAATTGGATCTAAGGAAGGAGAGAGTGAAGAAACTATAGATCACACTCCTCCCATGGACTTCTGAGATTCCAGCTACAAGAGATCCCATAACACACACAGACATTTGAATTGGCAGGGGGGACTGCCAAGAGCGTAGGGAGAGGCAGAGCTTCAACATGCATGGAGCCCAAAAGGCTTCATGCATGAGGCAGCTGCAGGAAAATATGACAATAGGTACCCATCCCCCAAGGCTCACCATCTTTCTGAGTCAATCTACCGCCTGCTGACAGCCAGACCAGGAGATAGCAGGCTGCCTTTCCCAAGGGCCTGAAGTGCATCTGATGTGCACAACTGCTTGTGTGCTGCTCCCTTCCCCAGTTCCTGCCTTGTTGCTCTCTCAAGGGTGTACACATAGCACAGCCTCAACTGTCCCGCCTGAGTGTTTTTCTGGCAGCCTGAAAGCAGTTTGCCTGCTCCAGAACAGCCAGAGCTTGACCCTGAGGTACCAGAGAATATAAATACAAGACCCATCCCAACTTCCCAGGGTTTGAGTGTACAGTGAAGGGGTATTGAGCTGGTATCTGTGGCCTGAGCTCAAGTCCAGGTGGTGCTCCCCACTCTCAGAACACTGAAAAGAATGAGGCACAGGTTCATGTGCTGGCATGGGAGCTGGATGTGCCTCCTTCTGCAAGACTGGTCTTGGAAAACCATAGCCTGTTGGCTGGCCACAGCCTCCATCCAAGAAAAACCTGTGACCTGGAACACGTAAGCCCAAAGATTTGGGTGCAGAAGGCTTGGGACAAAACTAGCTGGTCAGGCCTTATCTGAAAGTACATATCACAGAAAACCTGGTCAGGTGAGCATGAGCTGAATGGTCCTCAAAGCCAAATGCTGAGAAAAAATATCCAGGCTGTGGGCACCACACCAGCTGCACACCCATGGCACCACCCACCCTGCCCAGGGAACCTCCACCCTTGACCCACAGCATCCACAAACACCTGCAGACATACCCCACATCCCTTCCAAGCACAGGGAATCAGCAGTTCCCTGGACATTTATAGGAATAACCTTTGGCTCAGACTGCCCCTAAAGCAAGCTTGTCCTGGGCCCATGAGTTGCATGTGGCCCAGGAAGACTTTGAATGTGGCCCAACACATATTTGTAAACTTTCTTAAAACATTCTGAGATTTTTTTTTTGCAATTTTTTTAGCTCATCAGCTATCATTAGTGTTAGTGTGTTCTATGTGTGGCCCAAGGTAATTCTTCTTCTTCCTATGTGGTCCTGAGAAGCCACAAGATTGGACATCCCTGACCTTAAAGATGGGGGCATGCAACTGTCCAGGGACTTCTTGGGAGCTATGAAAATGGGGGTAGAGCACCATTGATTGAAGGAAATTATCTGAAGGCTTGGGGAAGAAACTTTGTGAGAAAGGTATTTCTTGCCTCCTTGCCAACTGTTCCCCCTCCTCAGAGCACTGCTGCAAACACACTGATGTACAAGAATTATGCCCCTGAGTAAGGAGCCTATCTACCAGCCCTTACTCCAAAGCACCATCTATGGGACTGAAGTCAGAATTACACCACCAAACAAAAATAAATTCCCTCAACACACTTAGCCTGTGAAAACCAATGCAGAAACTAGCCACAGTTAAGAAATCCATAGAGGCCAGGTGTGGAGGATGGCTCATGCCTGTAATCTCAGCATTTTGGGAGGCCAAGACAGGTGGATCACCTGAGGTCAGGAGTTTGAGACTGGCCTGGCCAACATGGTGAAACCCCATCTCTACTAACACACAAAATTAGCCAGGTATAGTGGCAGGTGCCTGTAATCCCAGCTACTTGGGAGGCTGAGGCAGGAGAATCACTTGAACCCAGGAGGTGGAGGTTATAGTGAGCCAAGATCAAACCATTGCACTCTAGCTTGGGCGACAAGAACAAAACTTTATCTCGAAGAAAAGAAATTCATAAACAGCCTTGGCCTTCTGAAAGAACCCAGAGACTAAACCAATGAACTGTATACAACATACACAACAGTCAAACACTCAAGGGAAGAATAAGAATATAAAAACAAAAATTCATATCCAAACGACAGCAATTTCAAAAAGATAAATAAACACCAGCCCTCTCAGATGAGAAAGCATCTGTGAAAGAAGTCCAACAATTCAAAAAGTCAGTGTTTCTAACCTTCATAGGATCACATTAGTTCCCCAGCAATGGATTCTAACCAGATGGAAATGCTGAAATGACAGTCATAGAATCCAGAATCTGGATGGCAAGGAAGCACAATGAGATCCAAGGGAAAGCTGAAACCTAACCAAGAAAGCCAGTAAAATAATTCAAGGGTTGAAAGATAACATAGCCATTTTAAGAAAGAAGAAAGCTGAGCTTCTTGGATTGAACAACTCACTATAGGGATTTCAAAATACAATTGGAAGCCTCAACAGCAGACTAGGTCAAGCAGAGGGAAAAATTATAGGGCTTGAAATCTGGACCTTTGAATCAACCCAGTCAGATGAAAATAATAAACTATGACTCCTTGGCATTGTGGAGAAAGAGTAAGAAATTTGGAAAACATATTTTAGAATATAGTCCACAAAATCTTCCCCAAACTCATTAGAGAAGTTGACATGCAAGAAATTCAGAGATAAGATACTATACAAGATGGTCACTCCAAAGATACATAGTGAAAGGACCCAAAAGTCAACATGAAAGTCTTATGGCTACTAGAGAAAAGGGTCAGATCACATACGAAAGGAACCCCAACAAGCTAACAGCAGACTTGTCAGCAAATACAAGCCAGATACAAGTTGGCTTACTTTTAGCATCCTTAAAGAAATTCAAACCCCAAATTTTATATCCTGTCAAACTAAGCTTTATAAGTGAAGGAGAAAAAAATATTTTCCAGACAAATAAATGCTAAGGAAATTTAATACCATTAGACCAGCCCTCCAAGAGATCCTTAAGTGAGTTCTAAACATGGAAATGAAAGACCAAGAAACCACAGAAACATACATAACTACATAGCTGACAGACCTTACAAAGCTACAAAGCAACCAGATAAAAACATCCTGGCAGAATAAAAATCTGACATATAATTATTAGCCTTAGATAAAATAATCTAAATATCCCACTTAGAAGGCAAAGACTGGCAAATTGGATTAAAGAAAATCAAGAACCAACTCTCTGCTGTCTTCAAAAGGCCCATCTCACATATAATTACACCAACAGGCTCAAAGCAAAGGCATAAACTAAGATCTAGCATGCAAATGGAAAACAAAAAAGGCAGGGGTCACTATTTTTACATCAGATTAAACAGACTTTAAACCAACAACAGTTTTTAAAAAGGACAAAGAAGATGATAAAGAATGATACACAATAATAAAAGAACTCAATTCAACAAAAAGGCATAAATGTTTTTAAATATAGGCACCCAAACTTGTACCATCAAATTTCTAAAACAAGTACTTCGAGATCTATGATAAGACTTAGATGGCCTGGCATGGTGGCTCACGCCTGTAATCATAGCACTTTGGGAGACCAAGGCAAACAGATCACGAGATCAGGAGTTCAAGACCTGCACGACCAACATAGTGAAACCCCGTCTCCACTAAAAATACAAAAATCAGCCTGGTGTGGTAGTTCACACCAGTAATCCCTGCTACTCAGGAGGCTGAGGCAGGAGAATCATTTGAACCCAGGAGGCGGAGGTTGCAGTGAGCCGAGATTGCACCACTACACTCCAGCCTGGGAGACAGAGCAAGACTCCGTCTCAAAAAAAAATAAGACTTAGATAGCCACACAATAATACAGACTTCAACACCTCACTGGCAGCATTAGACAAATTGCTGACACAGAAAAGTAACAAAGACATTCTAGAATTAATTTTGACATTTCATCTGTTGAACTTAATTGACCCTTACAGAATCCTCCTCCCAACAACCACAGAACGTACTTTCTTCTCATCTGCATAGAAAACCCAAGCTGAGATCGACCACATGCTGCGCCATAAAGCAAGTCTCAAAACATTTATAAAAAAAAAAAAAAAAAACTGGGACAGGCACTGTGGCTCACACCTGTAATCCCAGCCCTTTAGGAGGCCGAGGCAGGCAGTTACCTGAGGTCGGGAGTTCACGACCAGTCTGGCCAACATGGAGAAACCCCATCTCAATAAATAAATAAATAAATAAATAAATAAATAACTGAAAGCATACAAAGCCTAATCTTAAACCATAGTGGAATAAAAATCAAAATCCATAACAAGAATTTCTCTCAATGTCACATAATTATATGAAAATTAAACAACTTGCTCCTGAAT